TGACCACCTGGTTGTTTTTGACGTTGAAGATGCAGCACATATCCAAATCACTGATTTGGAAATGTTATAATATTTATTGTCTGAGTAAACTTTTAGTCAATTAGACATTAACTTAACAGGAAAGATAATTATTTAACTGTCTCATTTAAGAGTTGAAAAATGTTAAGATCAGATTTACTGAGGTGAGCGAAATGTACTGAGTTTCAAGATAAAAATTTTGGGCGTAAAAGGGTGTTGTTTGTGTGACCTTCACGCCAAGTACAAATCCATCGATTGGTGAGACAAGTTAGAGCAATCAATTAATTTCAGCCATGACTGTGAACGCAATTCAAACTGTCCAATAAGTCGACACCAAGGCACGAGTATTAACTTAGATTGGCTAATCTTGAGTAGAATTTAATATTTTTTCGAGAAACGTAGGCAATTATTTCGACTTCTCAGTGTTCCCATTTCTAAATTTGCAATTCACAATTCACTGAATTGGGGGGGTGCGGGGAAAGTAGTTTTTTGCAACAATATCGCAACTCTATGCCAATTTTTGTGTATAAATTTAAGAAAATTATGTTCTTAAATTTCAATCTTTAAAACTTAAATGTTAATACTGAATTAATTGGTCTAAAATATTTGGACTTAGGCATAAACACGAACCAATTAAAACATTTTATTACAACGTAACACCATATCGTTCCTAATGCTTCGGCACTGGTTCAACAAACTTATTACACCCCAAAATCGTTTTTATTTTTCTAAACTATGGTTTATAGGTACACATGACCTTGACTGCCAACTAAAACAACGGGGTTGAGCCATCAGAGAAAGCTTTAGGTCTTCCTGGTCTCTAGTCTTTTTAACCCGGCGGTCAATTTCAACGTTTGACCTTGATGTTGTATGTGACGAGCTTTTGTGAGCAACCCAATTTATCATTCACTGGAGCTTGTTGAAGCCCCTTTGTCTGATCTCTCCCTTAAATGCTATGATTAATTATATTCGTTTATTTTAATTTCTTGATCCATTCAGGTTTTGTTCGGAAAAATTTATTTTAGCGTAGAATACGAGACATTTACTTAGCGGTAATCAAAACAATCACTTAACCGCGAATTTACACCTCAAAATTAATGAGCTTAGCTGATTAATTGAAGAATTTGTTTTAATGTGATGGTCTGCACGTCTCGACAACGCATTACTTTTTACGTTGTTTATCGAAGGGAGCAATTAGCACTGGATTAATATATTTGAAGATGAGTCGGCGTTTCCAGGAAAGGGATTGAAATAAGAACCGATTGAAATTTCTGCAAGTAGGTTTTGATTAATACAAAAGCCCGTTCCCAAATCTGCAGATAAGTGACCGTTTTCCACAATTGAAGTCGGTGTTTTACTAAACAAAACGCATGTCCCGCGAGTTGGATTAGCCAATCTGATTCAGATCTTGCCTCTGGGCCAAAATCTGTCTGGTTTGTATTTTAATAAAAGACAAAAGTGTTGTAAGTGCATTTAAACAAGGATGTTTTTCTTAAGAAAAGGACTCTACAGTTCACTAGCATCAAGTCGGCTGAATATGTTCGTTCAAAATGAATTGGTTGTGAAAAGACAGTTGATTGACGTGGACAAAACCAGTCGTCCGTCTGTCAAGCGTGGAGTGTCATTGTGGCGTGCACACCCTTAAATATGTGCTTTAGAATCTGTGGCTGAGGTAGCCAATCAAACTTTAGCTACATAACGTGGTAGCCAATCATTTTCAAACGAATCTCCCCAGCCAAGTAACATCCCAAAGGCCACTGAAAAGATAACCCGCTACATTTGTTTACTAAAACTTAATGTCTGCCATTTCAGTTGTCTGACTAGGTTTTCCTTCGTGAAACAATCGTTGCTATGGTCAAATCTAAGTGAAATCATTTTCGAAATTTTTAGTACATCGATGCCTCCAGCCCAAAGTAATGACTATTTGATATGGGCAGAAATTGGAGTTAAGTGATTGATGAAGGCTCCTGTGGTTTCAAACGTGGGTTGCATGTCATAGCGTAAATTGTGGCATCGTTTAAGCAAAACTATCCTCCAAAACGGAAATCCCATAGGCTAAAATACTGCGAATAATAAATTCTGATACTGCAGTTAGTCGAAACAGCCAAATAATAACTTAGTTACAACGGAACTCTTCTTACCTCAGCTTGCTGTTCCTTTAGACTTGAAGAAACCCGAAATCGTCGTTTTTATGGACGTCAATTGACTTCAAAATTTTCACTGTGCAGCGTGGTTAAATTCTGTTTATTGATTTAAATGGCATTAACGTAATCCAACACCTTAAAATTATTATTTTTACACGAGAGAGGTTTATAAAAAACATATTAGCTAAATGAAGGAGCTGAAGATGAGAAAGAGGAATTTAATATTGGGTAAATACTTTGATTGGATATAAATATTGGCATGAAACTACGTAAAGTTCAAACAAATCAGATTTAATTTTCTATCATAACCCGATATTTGAATCTTAAACTAAAGTAACTATGAATTCAACCAATTACGAATTTCGATTTTTGACGTATTATGTTTTAGATGAGCCTTATCCAGTAAAATAACTTCGGTCAAAATTTAACCAATTGCTATTAAACATACAAATACTTCTGCTATAAGATAGACAGAGTAAGATAGCATCGATAAAGACTATGAGATGGCCTTTGAACAGCAACAGATTTGAATTTGTAAAAAAATGTACAATGCCCTATTAAAATCTTAAAAATCAATTTCTTCTTCATGTGTCCAAAGGCCTCAAGAACACATTGTGATAGATAGCGCCAGATTTTACTAACACACATAAAACGACTGAGAGCTCGAATCAGTGAAAAGCATGCGATGCTAGGACGTATCAAAAAATCTAACATAAAAGTACAAACATGTCAGAATGTAATTAATAATTACTATTTTGTTAATAGTACACATAAAATATGTGGCCAGGACTCAAAATAGATTTTCTGATTGCGACGAATCGTGTTATTTACGTGCTTGCTTCCTTACAAATTTTACACTAACAAAATACCTAAGTGAATAGCCCAAATGACGACGTCAAAGATTTGCTAAGCTCAAAAGCTCAAATTACTTTCCATAATGCACCTACTATTTTGACTTCTAACTAGCAAATGAATAAAAAATTAAAGCACAGTTATCATTTAAATGTATCACAGTGAAATGCCAAAATAAGGAAATAGTTCATTTGTCGGAGCATCCAATTTATGAAATTTGATCTTCCGCAGCTATGCGCATGTCATTAATAGAGAGTAGAGATTCTACTTTGTGATCAAGTATTAAATTAGCATCTTCAATTATTGACAGTTGTGCTTGTATGCAGCTGTATATTTTAATAATGAAAAATAGCCAAACTCCACTAAGAAAATGTATTAGAAAAAGAAAAATGAAGGCATGGCAATGACGTCATATTAAATCCTAGGACCTGTAATCTAGATGTAGGTCTTAAATAATAAGTGAGGATGTAATTTGGACACCAAAGATAATCGTGTTGCTAAAACGGTTACAGTAGGTATTCAATCATTCATTTTTTTAATTATATTTAAATGGACATATTAATCGAGTTTTATAAAGCAAAACGCACCTTGTTAGGTGACTGTACAAAAAAAAGATACATAAAATTTGAATATGACTACTGCAACTTGCAATCTTTCCGCATTTTTTTAAATAGCAAATTAGGTTTGGTTAAATTAATCGATGAATAGGCCGCGTTGTTCGAGCGAGTCCTGTTTTGTGAAGGCGGATGTTTTTCGCTAATTAACCTGTGTGACTGTGATATTAGTCAAACATTTTTATTGTTCCTAAACCACGTAGTAACACAAATTTTGCCTTGCTGTCAAGCAACAAGGCATTGTATTTATTATAAGGTTTTGAAAAAATGGCTTCGCCTGTGTTATTTGGCGTCAAAGTATGGCCTGTTCTTTCCATGGCCATTTTAATAATTTTTTACGGGCTTTCTTTTGTTGATTCCAGTGTGTTCTACTTTGCCATAACTGTAGCCCGTGTGTTGCCCCCGCATTACTGGTTTTGGACCCTGTTCACATTTAGCTTTTTCAATAACCGTTTATTGCACGTGGTTTTTGACATGGCCACTGTCTACTTGGTAGATGTGGTCATGTTTCCGTCGTGGAACTTATCTGAGGTTATTCGATGTTGTGTGCTAGCCCAGTTTTTCTCGTCAGGCCTTGTTGTCTGCACGCTTTTCCTTGGTTATGCGTGCACATTCAATTTGGATCTCCTGTGGACAACTCCTATTTGCGGTTTAAGCCCCCTACTTGGCGCTGCGTTGGTAGTGGCACGTCAACTCACCCCTGACAATGTTCTTGCAAACCTTCCTCTTGGAAAATTTCGGACTAAACACATTGCCTTCACCATGTTTTTCTGTTTCCTCATATTGGCTGTCCTTCATGTCACTGACTATGTGCATTTTCTGTTGTTGACGTATGGCGCTCTTGTCACATGGGTGTATCTTCGATTCTTTCAAAGACATAGTAATGGTGATATCGGTGATACTACTGATGCCTTTGACTTCTCCGGGTAAGGCGGAAATTATTGCTTATTTTGGGCAGCTTCTTTCCTAATCATTTAGAACCGCCGATCGCGATTATCTCCAACGCCATCTATAACTTGCTTGTGAAAGTACGGATCTGTAAAGACAAGAGGATCCTCGATACTGATTATTGTGACACGTCGTTCGCAGTGCGAGTCATTGACGTTGATAGTCAAAGGTATACACACATTCCTTTAGTGCTTTCTGTTCTTCTGGCTTTTGTTGAAAGTTCCGATTTTTCACCAATAGGTCTTCGCCTCAGGTGTCTAACGGAGATCCGCTGTTGCTAACGGCATCAAATGTTGATGCCTATCTACCAGAGCATGATCCGCTTGAGGCTTTGAATGCGTCCGAAACCAACCTCCCCGCAAAACCCACTTAATATTTGCTACCTCAGTCTTCTGTTCCCTTCTTAAATCAATACTTCATGCCATCTGTATTTTTAAACGAATATTCAATTTTATATATTTTTTTATTTCATGGTGGTTGTTTTTTGCGTTTATTGACTCACCAGGGATAAGCCTAACTTTGAACTTACAAATGGCTATTTCTAGTCGCTTACGGGCCGTGTTTATGCATTTAACTGGGTTCTTGTTCGACCAAATTAACTGTCAACAAACTGTTCTTTTAGGAAGTTTCTCTAACAGCAAATTTCGATGCATTTTTCACGAATACTCTTATTGTGTTTTGTGGTGTTTCTTTGTTGTGAAGTATCCAGTCTCCTTCCATCGGCAGCCAATCGTGATGCCTTTTGTATCGCAACCAGCTTCGATTACGCGTTGTGTCCTTCGTTGGAGTGTTTTCCATTCGTAACCTCAAGGGCTGTTCGATTGGGTGCTCATTGGACCGCCTCAGGCGAACATGTCGCCTGTGCTTCATTGGATCTTATTTTCAATTTTCGTCTCAATCATTTGAGAGGCTCAAAACGGTCCATTTTTTATTCCGAATCCTCTACTTTTATGTGCAATTAGGCGAGGAGCCAAAACTTATCACTGAAAGGTTGGATTTTACCACAACACCGTCTGGCTTATGTGTGTGATCGTCCGTCCAGCCTGCAGTCACTTCCGGTAGGTAGACAGACGCAGAATCAGGTGATTTTCAAGGTCACACTTTATTTGGGCTTTATTGGCATGTTCGTGTTGGACCTCATTTCGTCTTGCTCTCTAGTTTTCGTGTACATTAGAATTAGTAGAGCTTGCAACTTGCGATGTCAGCAGCTACGGTGTGTGCTTGTGACGCCATTCGGACCTATGCCCTTCTCTGAATACCTTTTGCTCTTGCAAGGTCCACAAGGCTGTGGAGTCTAGTGGATGGTTGACTTTTCTCGACTGCCAGTATAAAGTTGAAGTCTGGGGAAAGGGTTGTATAAGAACACAGCACATCTCCCCTGCTCACGGGTATTAGCCGCGTAAAATGACATCGTTTTCGCCAATCTCGCATGTTAAAATCGGTTGTTTTTGTGCAAAGATCCAGGATTCTATCTTGTGGGCTGTCTCCACGACGTATAATGCTCAAACGAGGAGATTTTTGCCTATCACGTGCAGCTAGACCCTGGATTTCGGTCCGTAGTTGCGTGGGCGGAAGCCCGTGATCAATTACAGTAGCACACTTCACGTCTTATTACGTCGACTAAACCGCTGTGCAAATATGTTAAATGGGATTATTCGTGGTCTGTTAAAATTTCCACGATAGGCGTGTTCCTGTTTCAGTGTTGGCTTCAGAAGGAGGTTCATTTCTAGTTGTCGGCCGCTATTTTTTTTTGAATCCGCAGTTATCACAAGGTGTCGCTTGTTCCTCTGTTCCCTTCTCCTTAATCAAGACCTTTGTAACTCAAATTTTGCTTACGTAGAACGTAAGTGCACGTTTTCAGCCGCTTCCTTGTAGGGCGTTTTTGATAATTTTGACGCATCGTGCATTTCTTGAAACTCTTTCAACAAGTTTTATGCAAAATATTTTGATTTAACATGGAGTACTAAGTGGTAACCGATGCGAGGTAACTCTACGATGATTTGTGCGTAATTTTGGGTTGACAATTCCCAAGGACCTAATCTTGTGAACGAGATTTTGCTTTAGCAACGCAACGTAAGTGACACCGTTTTTTCTCGAGGTGGTGAGAAAATGTCGGTACTGCATGCACTTTAGGTGACAGCAAGGCCAGGAGTTAGTGCAAGAATTTAGCGAAGAGTTGTGTAAACTGTCAAGTAACGTGATTGCTTTATCTCCAGTGTAGTTTTTTTGCGATCGGACACTAACGTGCTTCGTAAATCACAGCGCTTACTGGTTGCCACTGCAGATTTGTATTGCCGTAGCAGAATTTTGTGTCGTGCCAAGAATCCCTAATGTTCTTTTTCCGAAAGTTAAAGTACACGTGAATAGAGTGTGTGTGACAGTTTTGACATGCCTATCTTTGATCTCCCCTGAGTTGTTCCTTCTCTCGTGATGCCTTTACCAAACACGTGGCAGGTTGGGTGGAGTGGAGCCTCGATGTTGGTTTTTCTATGAGTAACAAGCTTTGCCTACCCTGGCAATGAGAGTTAATTGCCACCTCACCGAATCGCTTGACATTAATTCAATGGCTTCTGGTGCATTTGTGGTTATCAAATCGCAGTATTGTGATGAGTCTTATTCAGGCCCCTGTGTTCAACTGATGTGTCAGCTTAGCGAAGCCTGAACACTGACGTTCTGGGGTCCATTTTTAACTCGATTATGCAATCCAAAATATCGATTGGTAATTCCTCTAGCGCACTCTTTGAAGAGGATGGAATGTGTTTATTGCACACGGCCAGCATCTGATTAAATCGAGTTTTGATTTTTACAATGTTGTGGAACTCTTGCGAAAGATACCTCAAATTCTATTTCGCTATGAGCATGTGATGGGTTTGTCGTCAAGAATCACATCTCGAAAATGTTTAATTAGAGGTAATCCCCAACTAGTCGGTGGTTTCCAACGCCGTGCCAAAACAACTGTCAAAATTGTCGTTTTGCTAATATGCATTTCGTCATAACCAAATCAGTGTAAGTCATGCGATGATTCTGTTTTGTTCTGTTTGACACTGTTGCTTTTAGTCTGTTTTGCGTTGGTTGGCAATCCGTTTCTCAGAAACTGGGGCAAAGGCCCCGTCAGAGATTTATTCTGACATCGCTTTTTTCACAAATTGAATAAGAAACTTCAAAACTTAACTACAAACAAATGAAAAATTAAGTTTTTTAAACACCCCAAATCGAAGATATGTGAAACATTAGTTGGTTTGTCTTGTGAGGCACTGAGAGAAAAATCGATGAAAATCGATTTTTGTCCTGTTCACGTGTAGCGAGTGACGGGCCCTTATGCGAATTATAGAGGTTTATAAAGGCATGCGTTGTTGATTTTGACACAATTTCTAGTGAGGTCCAACCACGGTGGTTGGAGAGAGAAGTTGGATTTGTGACTTAGGCGCATAATTTGTTGTCTGCTAATCGTCATGGCATCTGCGTGCCAAAGTACGAGATCAACGACAGTGAAAGGAAGTTTTTATATTCACCCTGACTGTTGCGAACAGATGTCAGGGTACTAGAATAAAAATATATTCTTGTGCAAAAACTTATCTCGCGCATTCGCTGAGCAAGCTTGGTGTTGTTGTGCTCAGATTATGTGTTTCGCATTAAATGGGCTTCGCTCTGAATCACCTAATCAACTTTTTATCATGAGTGCGTCCAATCTAGTGAAAGAGCCACACTCTAGAATTCAGTGATTTGATTTATTTTTACTTTTGAAAATACACAGGTATTAAAAACTTGGTGTTGCTGTCTTCAAGTGTTTATTGCAGCACGAAATAGCATTGAGTTTTCAAGAAGGATTTACACATCAGAGGGACGGAGAGATAGCCGTTTAGTCGAGAACTCTACCAATTCGTAGTCGGTGTGTGGCCGTGGTTGTGTTGTGTCGAATCATATCGTGTCTAGTCCGTGGTGTAGAATACCCGAGCCCTAGTATGAGGAAAACTACTACAACAAAACAGGCTTTATTGACCAATCACAATCGCATAATTTGTTGTCTGCTTATCGTCATGGCATCTGCGTGCCAAAGTACGAGATCAACGACACTGAAGTTAAGTTGTTTTTATATTCATCCTGACTGTTGCGAACAGATGCCAGGGCACTAGAAGAAAAAAGTAATATTCTTGTGTCAATATTAGCTTATCTCGCTAATTCGGTGTTGTTGTGCGGTATTCAAGGATCCGCATTCCGCGTGATTACGTGGCACTGTGCCATTGGTTGCCCTGATTAAGTGTTTCGCATTAAATGGACTTCGATTTGAATCACTTAATCAACGTATTATCATTATTCACACCCTAGAGGTCAATGATCCACTTATTGTTACTTTTGAAAATAGGCAGATATTACACGCTTGTTATGGCTACCTTCAAGCATTTGTTGCATCACAAAATAGCACTGAATTTCTAAGAAGGATTGAGACATGAGAGGGAAGAGGAGACAGCCGTTTATTCGAGAACTCGACCGAATCGTCGTCGTCGGTGTGTGCTCATGGTTGTGCTGTGTCGAGTCACGTCGTGTCTAGTCCGTGGTGTAGAATAACCGAGCCCTAGCATGAATAGGACTGGTACAACAGAACAGGCTTTATTGACCAATCAGAAGCCATAACCACACTTCAGGCGCCTTCCATCCAAGTCCACCACGCTGGCTACGCCGCTCATTATATAATGCTCCTCATTCGTGTCCTTCTCTGGTTGGCTGCTTATCTTCCTCGCATGGCATTGGAACGCAGAGAGACACAGGATTTACTGAGGCCAGTGTCCAATATGTCTGCGCCCTCAGACGTCGCCACTGTAGAATAACCAAGCCCTAGCATGAATAGGACTGGTACAACAGAACAGGCTTTATTGACCAATCACAGGCCAGGGACAGACGTCAGGCGCCTTCCATCCAAGTCCTCGACGCTGGCCACGCCGCTCAATATATACTGCTCCTCATTCGTGTCTTTCTCTGGTTGGCTGCCTATCTTCCTTGCATGCCATTGGAAAGCAGAGAGACACAGGATTGGCAGAAGTCAGCGTGGCCCAATATGTCTGCGCCCCGATCCGTCGTCACACCACAATGCAATAATGGCGGGCCCATGGTTGTGTTGTGTCGGGACACGTTGTGTCTAGTCCGTGGTAGGTCGTATGGCGTTTGTGCGTGTATTTTGACACTCGAGAAGTGTGAAACAGCTTGAGTCATAAATGTGCTAACAACGAGGCCTATGTGAAGGTTATCATGTGTTGTGCCAATCCCCGATGCGCGTTCGAGCTAATGAGGTGTGACTTGAGGCTTTGATTGGTTGTCGGCACGCTGTGAAAAGGGGAACATTGTATCGGAGAGTAGTGCGACCGATTTAACGAGTGAGAACATATGTTTGGTTGCTTTTATTCTTGAATTAGTTGTAGAATGGTTCGGAGAACAATTTCATGTTCTGGAATTAAAAATCTAAAAGGAGTACGTGCTGATAATGAGATTCCGCCGGGTTCATGGCCACCACCTTCTTGTAGCGATCTTGCGCCCCCTACTTATTTACAATTAAGTAGATGGAACCATGCTTGGTAGGCTTCTAAAGCGTGAACACCAAGATGGCTGGATAAGAGCGGAGGTGGCGCCGCCTTTAACATTTACGAGTCTTTGAATCGGAAGGCAAAATTGGCATTTGTTGGAGACAAATAAAGCTCTCTGCACAAAGACCTGTCTTTACCCATGTACAAAAGGCGTTGACTCACGCGTGATGCCTCTGAGTGTTAATGCAGGAGAAGTCGCTGGCAGGTGTAGAGACTGATTAGGGCGCAGACATATTAGACCGCCTGGCCTCAGCCAATCCTGTGTCTCTCTGCATTCCAATGGCATGCAAAAGAAGATAAGCAGCCAACCAGAGAAGGACACGAGTGAGGTGCAGTATATAATGAGCGGCGTGGCCAGCGTGGTGGACTCGGATGGAAGGAGCCTGACGTGTGCTTCTGGCTTGTGATTTGTCAATAAAGCCTGTTCTGTTGTACCAGTTTTCTTCATACTAGGGCTAGGATATTCTACACAGGCTCAACAAGAACGCTTGGCTATTTGCACTCAAGGCTTTGCATCTCTGCACCGATAAACCTTAACAGCTTAGCTAAGTGGCCTGAACGGTTATTGGTCAATTTCGGTCATCGAAACACTGACCTTGCAAGCGCGAAGATATAAGTATAAATGAGTGCTGTTAAAGGCCACGATCTTTTTTGTTGAACGCAGCTTTATATATATGATATTTAAGAGTAAATGAAAACTTCAAAAACCGACTCTCAGAAATGTACATGGACAAGAAACCGAAGTCAATTAAACTCCTTCAAAGGAAACATATCCCAGGGAGCTACTTAAAATTTTGGTCTCAATTTAAAACTGAAGTTCACATGATAAATAAAATAGTATATATCATCGAACAAGCAGTTATGCCGCGAAAATCTTAAGACAATCAATTGTAAAGCACATTCTGTACTTTCCATAATACGCATATAGATGTACTAGTTTGAGGTACTAATGCAAACCAAACCCGACTTGCTTAATAGACAATTAAAAATATTAAGAGGAGGGATAAATATTTACCTGTTTATAACAAAGTTAATTAATTATAAACTGATAGAAAGTAATGAGACTAATCTTGCAAATATTGAAATCGGTTTCTACCTCTTAGGTTGCATACGAATGCTATGCGGAAAAAAACTTGCAGGCTAAGAGGCAGTAAAGGCATTTTTTAGCATTTTGTGACTGCTTATCTACTAAGGCTTCCTGCTACATTGATTGGAACAAATGGTGGTCGAACGATTGGCCAAGTCTGATGAATTTTCCGACAGTGAAAAAACGTTCTATCCCAGTTTCATGAGGGTCTTCTGGGTCGCGTGAGCACCAGCAGTACGACATGCTTGCTTCCTTTGCCAGCAAATGACGTATTCCGACCAATTTCCTTGCTCAGTTTGCTCACCTTTCGGGTGTAGCGTTTTGGAATTGTCGTCTAACCGATTTAGCGTTAGTTCTAAATATAGCACACCCTTCATGTCTCCACTAGAGATACATAAAATAGCCTTCTTCAAGTGGATGGACCGTTTCGTCGTTGATGTACGGCTTTGTCAGGGATCTCCCTACAAATTTTTACATTTAGAGTTTGCCTAAAAAATTTACGTTTCACCACACTTCCTCAGTTTCCACAAAAAGCCCCGCTCATATTTTCGGTAGACGAGTTGTTAAATGCAAGTGCTCATACGTTGATCCAGGTTTTGTTTGATCAACACGTGCAAGGGGACCCAAAATCCAAGTTTTGTAATTTTTCCCATTTGGCTGTGCTGAAGCTTGGAAACAGCTGTGTAGGTGACTTTAAACATAATTGAAAATTCTAGTTGCATTTACGATGAGTCTTCATGCAGTAGAACTTGCAATTCCGCATCATCATACTTTTAAGCTCGCTGTCCGATAGAAAACTGCTCACTTAAGTAGATATCCCTACTTTTAGAACTCCTATACCATTAATTACACGTTTAATAAAACAAGACGTTGACAGCAATAAAAACACCACAATTTAATAACCCATACTTTAAAAAAATTTCCTTTCTCAAATTCGCATATAAAGCAGTGCCATCGAAAGTGCAGTTTGGAAGTTGCCATCGTCGCAGACTCTGCTATTATAAAGGATTTCGCAAATTACGAGACATGTCGTTCAGCGTTCTGAAACCACACTCATGACCCTTTTGCTACCTCAAAAGATATCAAAAACCTTTATATTTTAGGTATAGTTTTGAGCTTCATGAAAAAACCCGCATTATTGAAGTCACGTCCCACATGAGTAATAATATGTGGATGAGAAAACTTAGGCAAACTTCGCGAAGTTCCGAATTTTAAAGTTGCAGTGTGCTGTTTATTTAACTACTTAGATATTTCTCGTTTTTTCATTTTTATCATAAATCAAAGTTTTTCTGAAATTGTGCATATTTTTGCTTTTCAGGTGAAATAAATGGTACAAATCCGGCATCATACACTACACAAAATATGGACAAGTTAAAAGTAGCAAGGAATGTAAGGAAGCATTAGATTAGGTTGGATAACTGAAACGATAGCTAAAATCCAGACCTATCAAACAAACTAACTAGTCCCTCAAATGACCCAAAATATAAATTGTTAGCATATACAAAACAGCTAAGTTCCTTTAAATTTGAACAAGACACTCGGTTATTTGCATCTTGAACTGAAAGTCGAATGAAATACGAATGTATTTTTTCTGTGGTCAAAAACTATTCAATTTGTTCATTGCAGGCTATGTGCGCCAAACAAAAAATAAATTGGATAACTGTTTTTAGTTCATTTTGCAACGAGTTAAGGTGTGAAGTTTTAGTATTTCACAAACAGAGTTTTTTAGAAGAAGCATTTTGTAATACAAACATATGCATGAATTTCAGACATTTTAGGCATATTTAAGATCTTTAAGAGTATTTTTGCAATATACGTTTAACATACATCTTTTGACATTTTAAACTCGAAAATCAATGCTAACACGAACGAGCTTTCGAATGTCCAAAAACCAAAGCTAAATTCAAATGTTTTGAGTAACAATTTAGTAATTAAGTGATTTTGGGCACGCGCAAACAATTTGTATAAATTTTTATTAGCAACTAAGAAAATTTTTACTGACTTTGTAGTTTTTGAGAAAACCAAATCTGAATTTTGTTTGAATCGGCAGAATAATGACTGGCACTTTTTTTGTAATCCACTCGTGTTTTGTGCTGCTCTAGCGAATTATCCAAACATGTCTGGTGGTAGCCCTGCCCTTGAACTAAAAGAGGATGATATAAAGTTAATGGTTGCGGCAAAAGTTCATCTTGGTAGTACCAACGTTAACTACCAAATGCAGCAGTATGTGTATGACCGTAACAGCGAGGGTAATCATATTATTCGGCTGAACAAAACCTGGGAAAAGTTATTACTTGCTGCCCGTGCCATCTGTGCCATTGAAAACCCAGCAGACGTAATCATCATCGGTGGACAGCCTACCTGCCAACGAGGAGCTCTTAAATTTGCCCACTACACTGACACGACTTCTGTTGCTGGTCGCTTTACGCCAGGTGCTTTCACAAACCAGATCCAATCTGGATTTAAAGAGCCACGTCTTCTCATTGTTTGCGATCCGAAAGCTGACCACCAGCCTCTTAGAGAAGCTAGTGCCGTCAATATCCCTGTGATTGCTTTCTGCAACACCGATTCGCCCCTCCAATGCGTCGATATTGCCATTCCTTGCAATAATGATGTGGGTTGTATTGTTACCTATAAAGTTTGCCTAGAAATATTCAATCGCTTTAATGCTTTGGATGCTGGCTCGCGAAGTGCGTCGTATGCGAGGTCAGGATATTCGCAACGAACCGTGGGATGTGATGATGGACCTCTTCCTTATGCGGGAGCACACTGAAGAAAACCCTGAAGGAGCGGAAGGCGAAGCGCAAGAAGTTCCTTTTGAGCAGGGTACTGTTGATGCAGGTGTGTTTTGCTTTCAGTCCTGCTGCAACCAAAAGTGTTCTGTGTCATTCATTACTCAATCCATTTTTTAGCTGAAGCCGAAGCTTCTGAATGGGCGACTGACGCCACTTTGCCTGTCGCTGGAATGCCAGATCTCGGAGTTGCCGCAACTGGCGGCACTTGGACGGCCTATGATGTGAAAACTGATGCTACCTGGGCCTAAATAGAGCCTGTAAATAAATACTGTGAGGAAAGTTACAATTGTGTTATATTGTGCTGTTACTGGTGTATTCGTGTACTCGCGGCCTTTCGACTACCAGGGTTCGACTACAAATTGGATTTTCATGATAACTTTATTAACCAATGCGGACATTATTTTGCCTCTTGTGCTAGCTTTTAGTGGATTGATCGTATTTAGTCGTTAGGCTGTTTGTTTTAGTGTTTTGCCCAGTCAGGTTGTTTCACGTTTGTAAGTCACTAGCTCGCTGAGATTTCGGTACCAGGAGAAACAAATAAGTCTGATGTCTCTCATGCATTTTGTGGGGTTTTGGTTGGCCATAGCGTATTGCATTTTTTGGCGTTTGTGCTGTACCCCTTTAAGCACAGTACCCCTGCTAGTTGACGTGCAGTACCTTGCCTGGTGTGCCTTGAAGACTCTTAGTAATGTTCCGGGTAAGATACATGCAAGAAATTCACCTCTCACCAGCCTACCTTTGGAGGGACTGCTAATGGTGATGGTTCACACCGCATGTCTCGTGGTTGCGTTAAGAAATTGATCCAACTTTCTGGGTCGAGTGACAATACGGTCCCTAGCAAGCCTTGCCCGACAAATACTTGTCCTTAACTGTAACATGCATCTAAACGTTTCTGTTCTACGGGTTCTACTACTTGCAAATTGAAGCACGCACTTGAGTGCACAAATTACAGTGGTTAGAGATAAGCAACAGTCCGAGTTGTTAGCCTCTAGGCCAGCATAGAGAAAGTATCAATGGCTCGGTTTGTGCGATCGTTAAACCCAACTGATTTGCATAAACAACGCAAAGTCGACGGTTCAAGTCAGCAATTGTTTTGTAAGAGTAATTTATTTGTGCAATTTTTGTCAATTATTTTCTATCAATTTAAACTCGTCTTCTAATGAAGAAAACAGAAGGGACTGAAGACACCTGTACATTTCTTCAGCTTTGTCAAAAGAATCGTCCAAAATTTTTTGCAAATTTTCCACTGAGGCAAGTTCAAGCCATGTTGAGTTGATCATAGTGATTTGGCGTAGTTGAGGCATTATTGCCACTGAAGAGGTCCCATGTTCTTTAACCTCCGGGTTCAGTGTTGAAGTGTCGACATCGAGACCTATTGCCAAGTCGTACATTTGAACACCTGCGCGAACTAAAGCTATGCTTGCACAAGTGATACCGGCTGATAGGCAGGATGCTGTTGATGACAACTGAGAGCCTGGCGACGAACCATCATCGAGTACGGTTACTGTGATTTGGTATTTGCCACGAAGGAAGCTGTCCTTGAGAAAGGAGGGACTAGATTAAAGCCAAATTGGGTGTGTGTGAGACGTATGAAAATTGCGGCATTTGGATGAGTTAATGTTAAGAGGCACGTCAAACGTACTAAGCATGTCATACATCCTTAAACACAAATCATACATGAAATTGACGACATGCATGTTCTTATATCTGCGACGAGGAGGTAATAAAAAAATGATAATACAAGAAATTGGAGAAAGCACGTGAAATGACAAAACGAAAACAACTCGTTAACTCACCAGAACCAAAGATGGCTCAAGCGCAGAAAGAAGGAGCTGACTCAGACGCTTTTCTTCCGGATCTCGAACTCCGTCACGCCTAATTTGCGTGGAAAACGGCGCAAACTTAAAACTCGTTACAACCTGGCCTTCTTGTTTGAGCTACAAGTTGGGAATGAGACTCGATTGACATACCTCCACGGGCCCACATACACTGCAAATGACTTTTATGTTTCCATATTCCAAATAGGCAGAGCCGTCTGCAGATGGATTGACATCGAGACAGAAATCTATCAGGTCGATTTTAATAAGATAAGTCCTATTTACATAAATGTGGAATACGGAAAACAGGGACAACATTCTAAAAAAAGTCTCAATTATGTCTATTAATACCTCACGGGGCTTGATAAAGTGGCACAGATCAACAGCGTCTGCGGGCGCCTTGAACCGATCCATCTTTTGAGAGGCAAACACGCCGAAGCTGACAGATAAAGAACAGATGCCCGTTTATAGGTCCAGAAGATGAAGGTAAAAATATAGACCAATCAACTCGCCCAAAATCACAGGATCATTGTCTCGAGTCTCCGGAATGAAAATTTTGTGTTTTGCCTAAAATTTGTAAATGTTTTAGGCATTCTGGAATAGCAGATCGGTTCTATAGTTAAATGAATGACAAAAACGTAATTCCAAAGATCTTAAAGTTCGACTCAAAATTGCACAACTCAATAATTATTTAAACATGCAACTTTCGAATTTCCTCAGTGAGAAAAAACATAATGTTTTGGAGGTTTGGCTATTCTGGACAAATTGTTGAAATCTTTGATAACAGTTGTCAAAATTTCTGCCCCACGTTGCGATTTGCACGGTTATTCCATTTTGAATTTCCAAATTTTGCAACATAGGAAGCGTCGAGATACAGTCATTTGTATGCTATTTCGCGCTTTTAAGGCGTTTATAGCAAATCGCTATATAAAACGTACATCGTCAGCATTAAAACGAAGTCCATTATCATTTCCGTTGAAATTTGTCTCTAAAAATAGAAGAAATCTAGCAATCTTTACTTACACAGCTGCTTGAATATCGAGAAGGCTATTAGAGTTAGCATCATTCTGAAACATTTTTTAATAAAATATCTTCTGAGTTTTGACTATACTTTATTTACCTGAGCTCAAATATGATTAATGATGTTACCATGTTACTGGTGTTTCATTAGACACTTTTTAACTGTAGTTCATTTTGTTGGTCCGCGTTCCTCACCTTTGTCCTCGCATTATCCAATACATTGCCCGTATTCCCAAAGAAACCCGTTTCTAGTGAATACTGTTGATTTACGTCCATTAACCCGGTTTTCGCAGACTCAGACAGGCTGCCCCTTTTCTGTGCATGAACCATCGTTACCCGCTTTATCAATCTGAACATTTAGACGCTTACAATTTAACACAGACTGCACCAGTCAAAAAGACTCATAACTCACGTGCTGACTTCAGTACACACACACACGATAGGGCACAACTTTGTAGAGCTATCGAGTAAGCGGTTTTCCGCTATCTCTTCTCATTTCTTTTTTGGTAACCTCGAGTTGCATCATGCTGCAACAAATTTGTACGAGCAAAGCCACACTTCAATTAACTTTAAAGAATTAACCCTTAAATAAGCCCCATTTTTGCCTAATTCCATTCCCTGTGGTCTAACCTTTTTGAAAATTCAAGTTTGTGGAGCCGATATTGTCGGCCAATATGCCAAGTACTCGTATTTGACCTCTATTTTTTTAGCAAACTATCCGAAAAAGCATCGAATCTGCTACTTCACTCCAAAAATCGATTTTTCATACGACCAGTTAAAATCAGTCTTCCTAAAACCTTCTCAATTAACACCTTTAGAACGCGTTAACCAGCTACTGTTTTGCGGTGGGTTTGAAGATCTCAAGCCGATACTGATCCCAACGAAGACGTCTCAAATGTCTAATGTTGACCCCTATCATGGTGATTTTTGGACAGAATTTTTTAAATTGACCTATTAGAAATATTCAAACAATTCTACATCCCACAATCGAGTCGTCAACACTGCAACATTTGACAGATACCGGAGACCTAATATTAGGGCCAATGAAGTCAGCCCAAGTCTCCCAAATTGGCCTAAGTTCATAAAGACAATCGAATGTCCATTTGGTCTTGGATGCATGCATAAATCCCTTTCTCCTTGAATAGACTCCAAGACGGGCTGAAGCAGCAATCGATGCCTAAAAATTAGGGTTCCCTAGGGAGGAGTTTAGACAACTCATTTAGAGGGTACCACCCACAGTCTCGCCACAGGTCCCTTTCACATACCTCATGGTAAGTTTCGTACTGGTATGAAGAAATTTTGCAGATTCAAACGCTCTAACTTAATTGGTAAACGAGAAAGTCAGGCAGTAGTGGCGTAGCCCACTGATGGATACATTAACCACCGTCCAGTCCTACGTCAAACGGTATCTTATTCCTGCAGACCTATCAGTTGTTCCAACGACTCAAGTCGACAAACTGTCATCCAAATCCTTCAGGTTTATTTTAGCCTCTAACTATTTCTCCATTTCCGGCTTTGGTCAAAAATCTGTTGCACCTAAGCGCCAGATATTTAACAGCTTGGGACAGGCCGACGATCAGTCAGCTACTGAGTCATGACATTTGGATCGCACCTAATAGCTTTGAACCGCCTTTCGCCACGTCAATGGCTTGGACAATACTCTAGCCAGCGCACTATCTCATTCGTGTATTGATGCTGTAAACACAGGTACACATGTGGATTTTAAGAATTCGATCAAGAAATGCAGGAACTCAGATAACAGAGAACAGTCTTAAAGCTAGTTAATATCCCCTTGCGTATTTCCACACGTACGATCGTCTCAGACGCTTCAACAGGTGTGCGACGTCCCTTTGTTCCTGGGTTAATGATTCGGCAAGCGTTACTAGTCCTTCATGGTCCCACTCATCCTGGTTAGCGTACGACAAAGAATCTAATTTCAAATCATAATGGGTGGCCTGCCATGAATCAGTGGACTCGAAATTCACTAAGTTGCCAACTATCCAAAGTAAACAATCCACCAATTTAAAGTTTCTGATGCAAGGTTTGATCACTTACACGTCAATTTCGTGGGACCCTAGCGGCATTCGGAAGATTTCTGTTACCTTTTCACTTGCGTTGACCGTTTTGTCCGACTGCAAGACGCTTTTCCTATGCATGAGATCTATGCCGGAACCAGAGATAAAAAGCTTCGAGGACAGATGGAGTCTCCTCCCTCATCACCACAGATACAGGAACTCAGTCTGAATTAAGTCTGTTCCAAAAACGCACACAGCTCGTGGGATCGAACCGCACTCTAACGACCAGCTACCACCTTCTGTCAAATGGCATGGAAGAAAGTTTTAACCGACAACTGAAAGCCGCTGTAACAACTCACAGTGACGCGTCTCGTTGGTTGAATACGTTGCTTCTTTTGCTGATTGATCTTTGATTAGCCATGAAAGGAGGCCTGGGTTGTTCCTTTTGCAGAAATGGCTTTCGGAGCAACACTGACGATCCCTCGACAGTTTTCCTCTGCAACATCCTAACAGTCATGGCCAAGCCAACGTAATTAAGTCAGTCATTTATGGGAGGCAATAAGAAACCAGAAATATACTCAACCACCTTCATCGGGAAATCGCTTTCCCCTCCCAACCACGTTTTCATCAGGCAAGATGCTAGTCGTCTTTCGCTTCAACCCACCTATGGTTGACCTTTCAGAGTACTCAGACGGAAGACAGGGTCTGTATCGTTGAACGAAACGGAAAAGAAGATGCCATATTTGTTGACTGCCTCAAGCCGACACGGAGTCCCCGCCAAGCAACAAATCTAGGCTTAGATAACTCCCATTCCACTTCATGCTGAAGTGGACGGGTTGATTGGCCCGATCGTAACAATGTTTGAACGGAAAATAACCGCTTAGCAGATGGAAGTCTGCCGATTTCATTAGACCACATGATCAAATTCTCAGCTGCCCAAATGGAAGCATAAGTTTCTACCGTCAATTGCTTTTACCAAGGCCTACGCTCACGATCCAGTTCTCGTTTATCTCAGCCTTTATTCCATATCTTGACCATCAGAAACGCTAGCCCGCCTGCTTATTCACCCCTTTGCATGTACCACCACCACCACCACCACCACCACCACCACCACCACCACCACCACCACCACCACCACCACCAC